AACCGTCCACCATCTTAAGACGAGAGATAATGAACCGTTTATCATTATCAGGCGATCAAAGAATCCAAAGGCTTTTCTGAGGAGAAACATTAGGTGATAGGGCCCCGTCACAGTTTTTACGTTACCTTTAAATCTTAGTGGGCGAAAACACAGTGGGTGAAGCAGTTCTAAAACAAGGATGGATACGAGCTGTCCCATGCTACTTCCAACACTGTTTGGATTCACAAGACCCTGACACCTCTTTATCTCATTTGACGCGTATAGCAGATAGAATGATGTAAAAAGGCCTAAACCGGATCAAGTAGGATAAACCACACACAAAAAGGAGAACCATCAAAAAGCCCAGTCATAGAATTCATTGCGAGTGTTTAAAGTCTCACTGAGGCCAGTGGATAATAGAAACAGGAGCAGGTCATCACAACGACGAGGACTCAAGTCATAAATGTTGATTGTCTGGGCAGTTCCCTTGGTATCACTGGGTGTTTGGTGTCAGATCGACAGAGTCCAGGCAACAGTGCGCCTAGCCTAAACGTAACCCCCAAAATATGGTAAATGAATAACCTCTGCGCAGGTCGTGACGACGGAGGAGGGGCACCTTAACAGTTTTGTGTTAGAGACAACTAATCAGACCCCGGAGACCAGCACCAGATAAGCTTAAAATCTTTAGAGCTGAATTCTACTACACACTTCAGCTGGATATTATCCGTCCCTCTGATAGTCATGGTCCAGAAGAAAAAATGAAGGTGATCGGGGACCGAGTGGGGATTATAGTTTATTCAGCCGTCGAACCGTACAGGATCGGTACCCAAACGGTTTACATGGTATGAACATATTTACTAAGATTGACTTGGTCAGGGCATATCACAATATCCCAGTAGATGAAGAAGATATCCTTAGAACAGCTACTACAAAACAATACATTTTCTTGACACTTCGTCAAACAGAAAAAAAATACTTCTATCAGTAGATGTGTATATAGAAAATGTTCTTCATCAAGTCAATGTACTCATTTCTTAAGCTTTATATCCCTTAATTATAAGGGAAACTTAGTCAAATGTCTGCCATTTAGAGATATGTCCAGTCGATACAATCAACCATGAATTAGAGCTCATGCATAATTTGTTGATTAAAACGGGTTATCTACAGTGTTTCCTGAAGAAACACATGCGTGTAACAAACAAGAAAATAGTAACATCAGCGGCTAGTGAGAAACCTCTCTTCCTGAAGCTACAGTTTGATGGAAATGTAGCTGGTGATGTATTACGTGATAGACTGACTAGAGCAGTGAAGAGAACGTTTAATGCAGCCAACCTCTGTCCGTCGTATTCGAATCGATCTACGGCGATTCCCAAACTAAAGGATAAGTTACCTGGTTATGCCACTTCTATGTATACTTACGACTCCAGCTGCCCTGGTGGAGAAAGCCATGTTCGGCAACTGGACCGGAAAGTCAGTGAACACTTCTCCTCGTGGTTAGGAAAAGGTTCTGTCAAGTCAATACGTAGCTCGTTTGTATCACACTTGGTCGATAGTGGGCATGTAGTAGACAGAAATAAGTCAGTTAAAGTTGTTTACTGTATTCCTAATAGTTTTCCCTATATTGTTCGTTCTTGTCTCTCACACAGCAGAAACTATAGGAATTCAAGCCAACAATCCAAGTCTTTGCGTTCATAAGAAATTTGTAACACCTCTATCTCTTCCTTGATCTTAATAAATGATTTTATTTGTTATCATTTTCCATACTCTCTGTTCGTTTATTATCATTTTTCTTCACCCCCTCCGACCACTATATTTTAGTTTTCTTTCAAATATATGTATCACAGTCCAATTACCAGAACAATTCTTGTTACGTAACCTTATAATGTTTACGAATTTTTTTCATTTTCTATATTTTTTCTAATCGTTGACTTATTTCCCAATATGTAACATTGATTCGAGCCTTTATTATTCTCATCACAACTAGTACACCTATCACCACACTACCAATTCGTACTTTTCACTTATTTATGTAATTTATTCCACTGTTATCACTGTCTCATAAACTCTACTGATTGGTTTAATAATCTCATATATGCATATAAATATTACTGTATATTTGAATGAAGACGGATGAGGATCTAATCGAAAACAATATTGTTCACTTATATATATTGTTCTTAATTGCGATATGGGAATTTTTCAAATATTTGTTAATTGCGAGTCCCGATTTACGGTCACACGAACAGCATGTGAGAACGATATTAAAACGTCTGGATGAAAATAGAGTAAACATATATCAATGTATTTTAGGTGTTCGAACCCTAGAATTTCTCGGGCACAGAACAAGCTTACGGGGATTACACCGACCAAAGAAGAAGTGGACAGCATTAAACAATACTCAAAACCTAGTTCTCTGAAGCAACTTGGAAGTTCTCTGGATCTTTTTAAGTTTGATTGAAGATTCGTGCCCGGTTGTGCACAATTGATGCGACTTTTGACAGAATTCCTTAATGGGAAAGTAAAAGAATTCATGTTCGCTTATGAGGCTGTTGAGGCTAGTAAACAGCCAAGAGATAATCGGCCTCAGGCGTCTACGCTGATGTATCCGAATTCTTTATCCCTATTTGCTTTGATGGTGGAAGCTTTGGATAAAGCAGTAGACGGTACCTTTAAACAACTGTTCATATCGCCTGGAAACCAGTTGCTTTCTTCTCAAAAAGATTAGCTCCAGCTGAGATAAGGTATTCTATCTTCGGACGAGAACTTCTTGCAATCTACCTAATCAATAAGCATTTCCGACACATGTCGGAAGGCAGGGACTTTATAGTTTTTACGGAGCACATGCCACTGACCAATGTACTAAAAGCGAGAGCTGATAAATAATCACCTCGTGAAGTCAGACTCTTTAAGACATTTTTGACGGTGGCATATGCTACATATCGAACGCTAATCGGAAGTGGAAAGTATCCTAACAGAAGATTGAGAACATTCATTTGAAGAAGGAAGGAATGTTAACATATGAAAATCGCGATAACGACAGAATTAGAAAAACCATGAAGCATGTAAAGGACAATTTAAGTAGGACGTGCAGATAATGGATTGAATGTAGTTATCGTGTGTTACAGAAACATTCTGTAGTTTCGGATTCAACAACAACTTGGTTTTCCACACGTAAGTTTTTGTTCACTACATAACTACTTATTTTGTGGAATTTATTAGCCTCTACCGATACCTTAGCTTGGGATCTGACACTTGGGTCGTACTTATACACATATCAGGTCGTTTCGCAACATTAGCATCTTATTATATGCTACAATTAGATGAGGACATTTATCGTTACTCGAGGTTTTATTCAATGAACTATATACAATATTACTTTATACCCTGTTGATGTGAAATCAAGCACTCATTTTTATCGTCATGCATTTGGGAATCGTTTTCTTGCGTTAATTATCTGCTGTTAGTATCGATCCACCCTATCTATGAATGGATTTAATTCAGTTGGCCTTTATAAACATCTCAATAAAAATAAATGACTAAAACTATGAATAATTTAGGGTCTCTAACGACTTGTTTAATTTTTGAAACCACTTATATATCATCAATATTTCCAATACCAATTTCCTATTCGTTATGCCTCGCAATCAAATAATATATTCCTCACCGAAATTCAGTGTATATATTTACTTTAGGTAAGAGGCAAAAGACGCCACAGGTATTCGGTTTTTTATAGCGGCTTTACACGTAATGGCTTTATAATCAAATTATGCCAAACCAGTCAAATCAGAAGTCAGAAATGAAGTGGTTTGACGATATATTTGGAAAACTATCAATGTTCGGGGAGCGTTTAGTCTAAGCTGCCTAACAGTTGCAAGGGTTGCGTAGCGTGTCATACCCACTCGTGATCTGGTGCGGGTGCATGATCAGGTGCCTTCAGCTGGATATGTCTAGTAAAACTAATGAAGTCAGCATCAGTGCCAAAGACTTACAGAGTTATTTATTTTGGTGACTTATTTACCGCTGAATGATAATCTGCTTTTAATTACTGAAGTAATTTATTACATGAAACTTGAGAATCTGTTGAATTTCCTGCAAATGTTCCTGACAAATGGGGCCAATTACGTTTTCATTACTATTATTATTGCTTGTCTATAGGCGTACGATTGAACTTCAAATTATGATCAGTTGTTTATAAATCTATGAAAGTCGTGATGACAAACTCCAAGTTCATTTATTTGATGGATAGTGAAAACTTAGGTTACTGAATATAATCTCCAAGCATTATACTCTTTTATCATTAGTTTGATTAATGCCATTCGGTCACCATTTGACCAGTCTTCAATCGTTTCTGGGGCTCTAGTTAAGGAAACATTTGTGAATAGACAGTGTCTCTGGAGTAATATCATCCTCAAAGATGAATAAGATGTTTTGACACAAAGTTCCCGTAAGTTGAAGCAATATCCTGGAAAAAATACAGAGGGCAGTTCCCGTACAATTCCAGAACTCCGGGGTTTACCATGGAAGGAGCGGCTTAAAACGTTTGATCTCTTTACTCTGTCCTATCACAGACTGAGGCGATATCTAATTTTGATGTATAAAATACCACGAAATGATTGTGAGCCTGACATATTCTCTCTTATTCTTCTCACTAGACCGGGACATCTCAGAGAATATAGTAGGAGAGTAGAAAAGCCAAGAACTAACAAAATACCTATGACATACAGGGCTTCATACAGAGTCAGTAATACTTGGAGCCTGTTATCCAGAGTAGTGGTGTCCACACCTTCAACTGACTCATTCAAGAGAAGACTGGACACTCACAGAAACATACTAGAAAGGGTATAACATAGGCCGTAGGCCTTTTATCCTTACTACACAGATCTAAATCAAACCATAATTTGCTTGATTGTCAAGCCGGCTGGGTCACAAGCTGCATATTCGAGGATACAGTTTATCTGTTGGAAGAGTGTGGGTTTTGCAAAGTTAGTGATACCAGAAATTCAACTAATGGCAATGTATTTCACAGCTTTCTGGTAAACAATGTAATGAACGTAAGGGTTAGTTACTAATATCTGCGTAAAATTAACACTGAAACACTACTCCTATAGTTGTAGGTTCGCAAATGAAAGATTATCCCATCTCCTACACGATACAAATAGTTCCAATAAAATTCGTATTTACATCAAGGTAATTGGCGCGGTTTTTGAAACTTCGTGGAAGCAATGTCAGTTGGGATACCTATCAAAGTTTTACACGATGCCGAGGGACATGTCGTTACTCTAGAAACTGTTAGCGGTGAAGTTTTCCGTGGAAAACTTGTTGAGGCGGAAGATAATATGAATGTTCACATGTGTGATCTAATAATGACTTCCCGTGACGGTCGTACATCAAACCTTCAACAGGTATATATTCGAGGCAGTAAAATTCGGTATGTCTTCGTAAAAACTTATTGTCTCTTCAGATTCCTTATCCTTCCTGATATGCTGAAAAACTCACCGATGTTGAAACGTCCACAGGGTGCTAAGGGATTAGGAACGGGAAGAGGGAAGAATGCCATGTTAAGGGCTGGTGGTAAGTTTCTGAAGTTCAAAAGTAACTCACCGTTAAGTTCGCGGGCGTGGCACTTTTGTTCGTGGACGTGTTGCAACTGTTCGTGGTACTGGAAGAACTACCGGCAGGTTTTGATATCTCCATTAATTTATCGAGTAACTAAATTTGTATATGCATCAAAATATCCATATATCTACATCATTCCGCATGTCTTCTCACTGTTTGCTTCTCATATGTCGTTTGATGTAAAGTTAATGTCGATTGCATCTACCCTCAAATCACCAATATAAACTTAGTTCGTGCATACTGTTACCTAATTGTCTGGTATATCATGTGTTGTCATAGTACAATAATGCTCAATCAGTTACAGTGAGGCTAACTTATGAATCTTCGTGGCACCAGTGTGTAGTTATATTTGAGACTGCTTGAGAATATATTTGAATGCTTACTAAGCTGAAAATTCAAATAACAGGTTTCTTTTGATGTACGAGTTATACCAGCATTATCTTTAGCTGCTTAAGCTTTTAATTAGTTTCCTCTTTTCACTAAGTTAGTGAACTTTTACCCATGACATTTTGAGTGGTCCAACTTCGTCCCTTCAGACGTCAAATTGAGATGAGACAGGATACTCAGTAGTTATTTCATCCATGTTAATCAATGGTTACTTACGCCTGTTACTCCTCATGAAGGAGCATAGGCCGCTCACCAGCATTCTCCATCCAACCCTGTCCTGGGCAATCCTTTTCATATCTGCTTCTATTATCCGACGTAATGTGTTCTTTGGCCTTCCTCTTTTCCGCTTCCCTTCAGGATTCCAAGTTAGGGCTTGCCTCGTGATGCAGTTTGACGACTTGCGTAATGTATATACTGTCCATCTCCATCGTCTTTTCCTAATTTCTTCTTCAGCTGGAAGCTGGTCTGTTCTCTCCCACAGAAGGCTATTGCTGATGGTATCCGGCCAACGGATGTTGAGTATCTTGCGTAGACAACTATTTATAAATACTTGTACTTTCTTGATTGTGGTTGTTGTAGTTCTCCAAGTTTCAGCTCCATACAGTAGAACTGCCTTGACGTTCGTATTGAAGATTCTCACTTTGATATTGGTTGAAAGTTGTTATGAGTTCCATATGTTCTTCAATTGAAGGAATGCGGTCATTGCTTTGCCAATCCTCGCCTTTACGTCTGCATATGAACCTCCTTGTCCATCGACGATGCTTCCTAGGTATGTGAAGGACTCTACATCTTCCAGAGTTTCGCCATCAAGAGTGATTGGATTGCTGTTCTCCGCCTTGAATTTGAGGACCTTGGTTTTCCCTTTGTGTATGCTGAGGCCTACTGATGCAGAGACTGCTGCTACACTGGCTGTCTTCATCTGCATCTGTTCGTGTGTACGTGATAGGAGGGCTAGGTCGTCTGCGAAGTCCAAATCGTCTAATTGATTCTGAGCTGTCCATTGTATTCCGTGTTTTCCTTCAGATGTCGAGGTCTTCATAATCCAGTCGACCACCAGAAGAAAGAGGAAGGGAGAGAGTAAACAGCCTTGTCTGACTCCAGTCCTTACTTGGAATGCATCTGTCAGCTGTCCTCCATGCACTACTTTGCACTGTAGTCCGTCGTATGAGTTCCGGATAATATTGACAATCTTCTCAGGAACTCCGTAGTGTCGAAGAAGTTTCCATAATGTCCTCCTATCTACACTGTCGAATGCCTTTTCATAATCAATGAAGTTGATGTATAGTGACGAGTAATCAAAGGTTACGATCGACCAATCCTACTCCGTACGTAGCCATATTTGCCTAGTAATTTTTGTCTTAACAAGGTTTAATTGATTAAAAAATTCCACAAATGTAAGGTCGTCTCGTCAGCTGCACTTAAAATGCATCAAACTACATTATCACCGTACCTCGTCGGATCACAATTGTAACATAGTGTGTTAAAAATCCTGCATATTTATGATTATGGAAATCAATACAAACACGACTATTAAGTCAAATAGCTTGTGACACATGCTTGTGTATTGACTACTTTTGAAACGAGATGAATTGGATACCCTTTTATTCTAGAGTTTGGCTCATGCACGTAATTACTATTTCTCATGCCTAACTTTCTAGAATGGTTACCTGTTTATAGAGGCTTGGTGGACTAACAGTTATTATAAATCTTCATTAAAAGTTAGCCAGCTCATTTGCCAACAATGTGGCTATACATTCAAGGATAGCTAAAAACGATATGTTAGGTAATCTCCAATTCTAGCGAACTTGTGTTTGGTACTTTAGTAATACTTGCTTCTCAGTTGAACTTTAGTCGACTAGTGGATTGTAAAAGATGTGTAAAGATCTACATAAAATGTCGGCCGTTTTCCTTTCACGTCCAAATGTATATTTTTATCATTATTACCAGTCATTTACCATATAGTCTGCCAACTTGGATCGATGCATATATGTTACAGGTTCTAGGCTACATTCGACTGAGTGAGGAAAAGTACTTCCGTCAAGACTGACAGTATGTTAGACTTTTGTCGTATTGGTATCTTGTAAGTACTATCGGTTTCCGAGCTTCCTAATTAATATTCTCTAGTCCCGGCATCATGAGACATTCGTTCGTTGACAGTGAAACGTGGCACCAATATTCATCGTTTCAAGTTCCAACAGCTCACCTCATGGTCGAGAAAAATCAATGAGATGCAAACTGAAAAGGACAATCATATAAATTGTAGTAGAAAGCACATCGTTGCTTACGCAAGCTTTGTTTAGAAAGTTTATATTTCACAATGAGTTTTAGTCCAACAGTGACTGCACGAACTACTTTCTTAGTTTCACGGCTTCCCAGTCTACTACGCTATCCGACAAAGGAGTTAACAAGAAAAACGGTTGTTCCGAATCAAATACGGATCATTAGCGAAATCAGTCACTTTAATAACTCATTTGGAGCATGATAAAAAAGCAATTACTAGTTTATAGACCCAGCATTTGTTAGGCGATTCCGGAGTACAGTGCGCTTTGATATGAGTAGTTATCAAGTTAATATGACCACATGCCATTTCGATTAACTCCCCAGACCACCTACTTCGGTTTGGACAGTATTCCGGCCCTCACACAAATAATCTATTTGTGTGGTGCATATATGTTTGGCGCCTCGCTGTACTAATCTTTATGTGTTTAAATAAATAAACTCCAAAACCACTGGAATAAAATTGTCTTACCCACATAGGTTGGTATGTGTAATTTAAATATCGAAATAAGCATAAACCTTGTAATATCAAGTGGCCAAATAAGGACAGTTTCGTCGGGATTAAAATTTATCAAGAAATACTGAATGAAAGTCTATGCTGTTGATATTATTTTTCATAAGTTGTCTGTTAATGAGCTTTTATTTTGGATACGGATAGGAGGGCCGATAGTTCACATTGATTATTATTATAGTGCGGTATCAATCAACTCATTCATCAACCACTTGAGTGCGAGCCACATTAAACGTAAGGCCTAGTGATACTATCCGGTTACCCAAACCAGATTAGGTTGAATATTGTCATAGAGTTACCTCATCTATCTGGACGCATATAAATGAATACGAAAATAGATGTACGCGAAAAGAAAACAAGATTGTAAAGATATAGAGTAAGGAGGGTGTGCATAACAAAGAAAATGAGTAGAATTTTGTATATTTAGATATTGAACTTCAAGTAAATCGGATAAATTTACCCGCCTTAGTTACGTCAACACGATGAACTACCATATACGCTGTGAAATATCAGATCTTTGCAGATAAATGATTTTTTTTTATTATCAATATTTGTAAGTGCCTTATTGTGCAGAGATAGGTCTCTTCGAGTTAAACATCTAAATCCATCCAAATCTTTTGGTTTTAGATGACATAGTATCCATGTATGTTGAGGTACACGACATACATGTCATGTTAAAAATTGTTGTGCACATTACGATTCACGGGAACGAGATATTGTCTGAATCTTGCCAAATGACATAAATCTAAGTGACGAAAAACCTGTCAATATGTATTGTTAACACTAAAGGTAGGAGAACATGTTCCCAGTATTACAATCATACGAAATTGCTGTAGATTTGCCAAAAAACTTAATAGGTTTTGAATTCTTGCGAAGAAAACTTGTGGTGCAATAACTTATTCACTTCATACTGCATACTTACCATAGAAAACGAATAAAAGACAAGTAATTTCTGCAAATCAATTATTGTAAATAATAAGCCAAAAGGAAAACATTTAACCATAAGCACAAATATTCGTTTCCCCAAAAAAATAAGAAAGAAGGAACACCAACTAATAAATAGACATTATTTATGCAAAGAAATAGACTGATTTAGGAAAATTAAATGAGATAGTTGTTTGAAAGGTGTATATTTGTATAATAAAAAAAACTCTGCTTAAGATTTGAAACTAAAATAAAGTCTTTACCGTTAGCCAACGATGAAGACCACTTATAATACAAAGAAAACAACTAAGAAATAATTAATTTCTACTGGAAAATAATCGAATGTATAGAAGTTGGAGGATTTTTGATTTTGAAACAATGACGTTGATAGATAAAAACCGTATTCACAAATGCAATTAATCAAATGGTAAGTTAACATGCATCAAGGATTGTACTTCTGCATGCCTTGGATCTGTAGTGAGATAAAAGAATATGTTTAACAAAAACATTACGACAACTGATTACAACATAATATAACAATCATTTGAATCGATTGGTGCACAGAGTTGTGATTAGTGCTGTCGAGTAGTATCTGCATGATTACAATAAGTTAGCTAATCTAGCTCAAAGTTATGGACTAGTGCATACATTCGAGCTTTTCTTCCATTCTCATTACAAATCCTTTTAAAAGGAAATAAACTGACAGCAGAACTACCTTAACATACTAACTGTAATAAATCACTTGTTCATAGGTTGGTAGCGCAGGAAATGTGGGAGACAGGACTCAAATTAGGTTCACTATTCATCTCATCAACACAAACCACTAGCTTTTAAAAAGGTCAGATCCTACATTTCAAAACTACTTATTTTCTGACATTCCTAGTGTTTAAAAAGGCTACGTAAAACTAGCTAAATTGTATGTACATGATGTCTGATGACCTTTTACTGTCCCGAAACTAAATAGCTGAGTCGGGAATGATACTTATGCCATATATCAGTTTCCGAGAAATATTGACGATCTTCATGGTAGTATATATCATTTGGATTGTAGTAGTTCAGCAGTATCAAATTATTTACAAAAAAACTATGGAATATACAACATATATGATGATATAAATCGTATTTATAATTATCCGGTACATTTAAGCACTGTCAAAATTCACGAAGTTTACATTATTACTGATAACAAGTAATAACTCAGTTGAGCAGTAGGTTATTGGTTTGACCACTTAGCGCTCGATCAACATGTTCGGAGTGAAATTTCTACCCAACCTACTTCCTTATGCAGTCAGTCAAACAAAACGTAGAACCTCGTACATGTGTACATTGGTTTACATTTTTATACATCATCAGCACAGCGATATTAAATTAT